GATAACATTAAAAAACACCCCAAAATCAGTATGCATATTCTCTGTACTGATTTCTATGCATTTTCTGAGAAGCTGACAAGGAGAATTTGTTTAACAATCAAGAGCTTCTTTACAGCTGTTGTTGGTGATCATTTCCATGATTCTTGTGACCTTAAAGTTTGATTCAAGAGTGATATTGTTAAGAGAAATTAGATACTGGTCACTCTCAAAAGTCAAACGGCTAAGCCAATTTATTTTGAAGTATAATTATTATGTCATATTTAGATGAACCAAGACTATTAAGGTGGCAATAAGACCATGATACACAAAGCGATCAGTCTTGCTGTAGCATTAAGTCTCCCAAACTCATCTGCACCTTAAAACTAGTTAAGGAAACACAAATGATATGGCTTTAGTTGGTAGGCAAGCTCTTGTACTTGTTTCTTTTGCTATGCTCAGTGGACATTTTATTCTCATGGTCTGATATTACAACATTTATGTTTGAAACAAAAACAGCAGATACACTACTAAGAGCCCAGTTTGTAACTTCTTGATCCCTAGAAGTGACCAGCATCTAATTTCTCCTCACTATATCGTCCCTGGATCACACATTAAGGTCAGGAGAATAAGGAAAATGATCACCAACTAAAGAAACTCTTGATTGTTGCAAATTCTCAGCCCCTGGGAAAATGTAAGGAGAGCATTGGGCATCTCGAATATGTATGCTGATGTTAGGGTGTAAAATCTCGGCAGCTGTTAAGTTTCCCACATCCTTTGCCTTTTTTCACCCATAAAAATAGACATGTTTGACAAAGTTTGGCTTTCTAATATTATTAAAATAGGATTCTTAAAGAAATCTTCATTTATGTTGTAAGTAATTTATTTCCTAACTCGTAACAGTAATGAGCCAAATTTCATGTGCTTCATTTATAATTATTTTTTAAAATGATTTGACCAAGAATTATGTTAACAAATTGCACTTTCTGTTTTGTCAGGTATGATTGGAAAATGGCATCTGGGGCTGCATTCCTCAACAAGCTCTGATTTCCACTACCACCCTCTAAGGCAAGGTTTTCACTATTATTATGGTCTGCCTCTTACCAACTTGAGAGACCGTGGGCTGGGAAGTTTTGTTATAGAGCTTGTCATCCCAGGATTCAGACCCACAAATATCCTAATTGCAGCAGCAATTATTGGAGTAACATTGCACATCTGCTATCTAAACAGCTTGATAAGCAAGTCAGTATTTTTGGCCTTACTGACAATAACTGTTTTTATTTGTTTTGCATTTTCTGCGGGCTTGATCATATTCTCTGGATTTAACTGCTTTCTAATGAAGAACTTTGAAGTTGTAGAGCAACCCATTGTTCTGGAAAATCTGACAGCATGGTTTACCAATGAAGCCGTGGACTTTATCCGCAAGAACAAAGACAACCCCTTCCTTCTCTTTGTATCCTTTGCCAAAGTGCATACTGCTTTGTTTACTACAAAGCCATTTGCCAACCACAGTGATCACGGTCGCTATGGTGATAATGTAGAGGAAATGGATTGGAGCATTGGTCAGATCATGGCTTCTGTAGAGAAACTAGGTTTGAGAGAAAACACTTTTGTGTATTTCACTTCTTCTGCTTGTTGTCGTAGAGTAGCATAACTTGCATTAGGTGACACTCGTAATGGCAATCTTTTACCTCTCTTTGATTTGAGAATTTGATCTTTCTCATTCCACTCCATAAGACCCAAGTGAACCACAACATCTTCATATTTTTTCTCTTCTTTACTAAACTTTGTCACTCGGGATTTCCACTCTTTCCCCTTACTTTTCCTGAAGCTTGCAAATGACTTTACTTTGGTACTAGTAAAATCGCTATCTTCAGAACTTCTTCCTTGTTTCTCCATGCTTGAGTGAATTGCTAAGTAAAAGAAAGGTTCATATATTTTAAAAAAGATCCTTCAACACTACATGTTATATCACTGTACCTAGAAAAGGGGCACTATATTTATTTTTATTTTTTATTTTTATTTGATTTATTTGTTTAAGCAGGTTGAATTTATTGGCAACTATTAAGCTGATGTGGACCTGCTGTTTTCCCACCCAACCCACCCCAGGGGAGGACATCCAGCACACAGTAATCTCGTGCGTGGGAAATTAACGTCTCTTACCCATTACCCTTAAGAGACGGGACCTCCGGCTTTACGTCTTATCCGAGAGACGAAGCAAAGTGGGTAAAGCATCTTGCTTAAGGATACAGCGACATCTCCCTGGTAGGACTTGAACCCGGGCCCTTCGACCCAGAGTCCAGCGCACTTAACCACTGGACCACTGACGCCCCATATCCATCAACAATGTAAATTTAACTAGGGATAAACAATTGTGGGAGAAAGTCACACATGTAAACTCGCATTGTTTGGCGGATCTCCTTCCGAGCAAACGTGCACTTCCTTTACGCCAGCCTGGTCATGATTATACTTTGGCGTGTGTTAGCACAGAGCGTTTTAAGCGCTGTTTTATAAATAGGTCTCTTTTTAATTTTATTTAGCTTAATGTTTATAGAGATCCGTTGTAAACTTGCACGTATGTCTGCAAGTGTTTAGTTTGATGTAAAATAATAGAGATCTCATCATCATCATCATCTCGGGGATTATCCGACAATATTCACCTCGCTTTCGACGAATAATTGTTAAATATAACTTTTTGCTTATGAAAATATTTGTGTATTGCCAAGTGTGCATTTCAATTGGTTTTAGTCATTCTCACCTTTATTTTTGATCCTTGAAATTTTGGAAAGGGAAAGGACAGTGTTGGGATGGTGGTGTGCGGATGCCCACGATAGCATCATGGCCAGGTCACATTCCAGCTGGGATCTCAATTAATCAGCTCACCAGCTCTATGGACTTATTACCCACAGTTGCTAAACTGACTGGTGGAAATCTTCCACAGGACAGAGTTATTGATGGAAGAGATCTCTTACCACTATTAACAAACCAGACACAGGAATCTTCTCACGAATTTGTCTTCCATTACTGTGGGAATCTGGTCCATGCTGTTCGTTATCGTCCAAAGGACAGTGACACTGTGTGGAAGGCTCACTTTATGACGGCTAAATGGAGTGAGGGAACTGAAATGTGTAGCAGTCATGGTATTTGTGGATGCCATGGACATCTTGTTGAGCTCCAAAATCCACCTCTTCTCTATGATATGACACATGACCCAGCAGAGAGTTCACCGCTTGCTTCAGACAGTCCAGATTACATGGGGGTCATGGCAAAAATTTACCCGGCTTTGAAGACACACATGACAGGAATTCATAATGTCCCCGCTCAGCTGGGTTATAAAAAAAATAGATTTTACCCAAGATTACAAATGTGTTGTAATTTTCCTTTTTGTAGTTGTAAAGAGGCAGACAGCCAACTGGAACATTTTCCTGAAAACGTGTGAAGTTTTATTGTTATCAAGATTTTAATTTTAAGTGAGTAAATCTATCTGCATGGTTGCGTTTATTTTTATGTGTTGAATGTCTTGGTTATGGATGGCATGTAATGATTTCGCTGAAGTACTTCGACTATCGGTAGCTCGGTAATTTGGTTTTATCAACTGAGTTGAAATTGTAAATTGGCCACCGTAACGAGTTAAAAAACTGAATGATGTTTCGAGCGTTAGCCCTGCGTCATTCGCTCTGACGAAGGGCTAACGCTCGAAACGTCAGTTTTTTAACTCGTTACGGTGGCCAATTTAAAATTTCAACTCAGTTGAAATTACCTTGTTACCCTCATCGACGCAGCACCACAGTTTCTTTAGAAACTTTCAGCGTTTATTCATTTGTCGGTAACTCGATTTATCTGAAGTTCGTGTTATGGAAAAATCGTGTCATCGGGAATCCGTGTTATGGTAAAATCGTGCCATCGGAAGCTCGTGTTACTGAAAATTCGTGTTATCGAGAGTTCGCTTTATCGGAAGTTCGGGCTGTGATCCGAAGTTCGTGTTATCACATATTCGTGTAATCGCGAGTACGTGTAATCAGCTGTTCGTGTTTTCTACTTTTCGGGAGTTGAGAACAAAATACGAAATTTAATATATTTTTGCCCACGAGGTTTACATGCCAATCGTATTTTTATTTAAGAGAAGAATAAAGACCTGTCCAGTGGAAATGAATCATTTTCAGGAGGGATTTGATAAGCAGTAAAAGTCTAATGAAGATGCAATGCATGAACGAACCTCTTAAAAACCCTCTTGTTTGCTTTTCTTTTTTCCTTGTACATTTCTGACATTGACAATTCGTAAAAAATAGAAGACTTTGGCCTTTTTAAGAAAGGAAGGGAAATTTCTCAAGAGTTTTTCTAGATATGTATATTTTATTAGCAAATAAAAATTAGCGGTTCTGTTGGGGTAAGACTTCAAACCTCATAAAAAGTTAGTTATCACTGTAAAAACCCCATTATAAAGCCTGAACAGGAGTTCAGGTTCCTGGCCCGACGAAGGTCTGCTTTTACCATTCAGTTGTTCCTTGGTAAAGTCCAGAAGGAGGCACTGGGATTTCCAGTTTTTGCTATTTTTAGATGGGTTTTTCGGTTTTTGTGCCAAAGAACTTCGATTTTTCGGTTTTGGTCTTCGGTTCTTGTCAATTTCGGATTTGGTATACCCTGTGGTTTTCGGTTTTTTCTTATTTGGGTCGCGGTTTCTCTGTGCTGATCTCGAATAGCCACTGATCTCGAATAGCCGTGAAACCCGTATGCTTTACTTCTCACCATTTCATTAGATCAGAAGCTTATGACCCAGTTCAGGGTTTTCAGCCTCTGATCGGATCGTTTACGGTTTTGATAACGGGATGTGAAAATTGATCAGTTTTCATGGTTTTGCTTGCGGTTTTTGATTTTGATCGAATTTTTTGCGGTTGTGCGGCTTTTATAGATGATGTTTTTTTTTTCCTACGATTCTGCGGTTTTTAATTAAAAGGACCCCAATGCCCCCCTCGTCTAGGTAGGGTCCTCATGTGGTTTATAATCCAGGTGCTAAGCATATCGAGTCGACGCGATTCGTTGACCGAACACGACAGACCCCACGGGACCACGGAATCAAGATGTGGCAGAAATGGTTCACTTGTCTAGTCCCACTTATGATGTTAGGCGTCGCATCCGCCAAGCCAAACATTGTTATATTTGTTGTGGATGACCTCGGTATCTCAGATCTCGGCTGTTTTGGCAATGACACGATTAAAACTCCGAACATCGATCGGTTGGCTGAACAGGGAGCTCGTCTGCAACATGATGTCACGCCAGATGCAATCTGCACACCAAACAGGGCGGCACTGCTAACAGGAAGATATCCCATTCGATCAGGACTTGCTTCGGATGAAGGTCAAGACCGAGTCTTCCTTCACACGGCAGCATCTGGCGGTCTGCCCCAAAATGAAACCACATTTGCGGAGATTGCATCAGCCGCTGGTTACAAAACAGGTTGGTGTGGTTTGTATCATGTGATTAGATTACACTATCTCTTTCTTCTTCCATAAATTTTAACTTTTATTTGTTTCAAGCGCGTTGTGATCGGTGTTTGTCGTCTAGGTAATAAGAAATGTTTGAGTTATATTTTTACAGAAATTTATTGAAGTTATTAAGAAAATTGTACCAAGGTTTTGGGACAGGCATGTAACGCCATCCATCCCTTTTTTTCGATGGTGGGGGTGAGGGATGTAAAATAAGCTCAAATTTAGAAGCACTTTCCGACCAGCAGAATTTTTGGAGTAAACCAATTTCTTAGTCGAAGTTAGATTTGAAAACGGGAGGGCTAAAAAGGATCAAGACGATAGTCACGAGTCTTTCACATGCTGGAACTCAAGGGGCGTGCATGATTCCCTTGAGGATTGGATCTCACCTCTCGCTAATCACGCAGTGTTTTGTTATTGAAGGAAATTTCAACATGCACTTGTGTTTAGTTTTCCTTGTTGCATGAATCGGTTTCTTAATCCATTCTTAAATGTAATTTTATCTTATGCTGCATAAATGCAAATTTTTGGGAAGTTGGTCTTCCCGACTACGCTAACTTGGGTCCAACACTGTGCAAAGGCAAACAAACCAAAAACCTCCCGAAAGACGTCACATTGTTCACAGAGTGCTTGTTCGATCTCGATTCTTGTTGATTGACCGATGAAACATACTATTGTGTTACCCGTCTATTGAAATCCTATCCGTCATTCTTCGCAGCTATCGTCTGATCTTGTCACGAACTCTCGGAACAGGAGTGTGGGGGGGAGGGGAGGAGCGTCTTGCGAGACGAGACCAAACAACGGGTGAAATGGAGATTACTACTTGTCAAGACAATGCCAGTTGAGGTAACCTTTTCAAAGAGGCCTTCCGTACCCTTTTTGTTTATTACCTCAAGTGGTAAGCCCGCAGTAATTACTATTTGCGATTTTCGTTCGTTCAGATTTAAAAATGCGTAGCGTGGTTGAATGTTTGACTATAAGTCATCACGATCGAGCTGTGCTGAAAAGGGAATACTGTACCACAGGGGACTCACACATGAGGTGTGATCGTCAACGATTAGATAATGAACGCCCTTAGTCGGCTATCATACGCACTATCGTTTAAAAGTGAGGATTTTCGCAAGTTTAAAAGTTGGACAATTTTTAAAGATTTGGCGGTAGAATCTCGCATTTAATGGACGGTTTTTCCCTCAAATTTAAAAGAAGAAAATATATACTGCAGACAGTACTGTTTCGGCCTTCTGGGCCACATCAGTGCAGTGCTGATGCAAGGATGGGGGAGAACCGAGAGGTTCACCCCAAACGACCCAACATTTGAGGTATCGTCTAAGCCATGCCAGAGTTCTCAAACTAGAATAAACTAGTGAGCATGTGCAGTTGCAACAGCAATGACTCATCCTAGGTACAGTGCTCAATTTGGACATGAAAGCAAAGCTTTGTATGCCAAAGAGCTATATCGTTCCATCATTTAAATTTCATTTTTTCTGTTTTGACAGGTATTGTGGGAAAATGGCATTTAGGACTCCACAAGTCTTCAAAAACCGATTTCCACTTCCACCCTTTAAAGCAGGGTTTTGATTTTTTCTATGGCCTGCCTCTCACTAACTTACGTACCTGTGAGCCTGGCCAATATCTCATAAACATTGTTTACCCAGCCCTGAAGCCGTTCAATGTTCTTGCTTCTGGGGTAGCCATTGGAGTAACACTTTACATCCTTTACCTAGCTGGCGTGCTTAACAAGATTGCCTTCCTGTCCTTGCTGACTCTTGTTATTTTGATCACCTCTGCACAGGCTGGTTGGCTTTCAATACTCTCCAGATTAACGTGTATTGTTTTGAAAAACTATGAACTTGTGGAGCAACCGGTACTTTTAGAAAATTTGACAGCAAGGTTTACAGATGAAGCAGTGGATTTTATCCCCAAGAACAAAGACAGCGCCGTTCTGCTGTACATGTCGTTTGCCAAGGTTCACACCGCTTTGTTTACTACCAAGCCGTTTGTCAATCACAGCGTTCATGGGCGTTATGGAGACAATGTAGAGGAAATGGACTGGGGCGTGGGTCAGGTCATGACGGCTGTGGAGGAACTGGGACTGAGGGAGAACACATTTGTGTATTTTACATCAGACAATGGTCCGTACATTGAAGAAATAAGTGACGCGGGTGAATAGCATGGTGGGTGGAGCGGAATCTACAGGGGAGGTGAGAGGACATGGGAACTAGGTGCTATTTCTTTCTCACAACTGGGACGGGATCACACGAGATCACTTTATCTTCTTATAGGTTGTGTGTTACAGTGGTGCGAATAAGGGAGGAAGCTTACACATAAACAAATTATGAAAAGTATTCAAAGATGATAGGATGACATTTTTCGTCACGCATGCTGGGAGGAGTGGGGGGCTACTCTGCACTTTCATATTGGCTTTAGTCATTCAATTGGGAGGGGGGGAAATGGTTAGTTTTGGGGAAAAAAAGCGTCGAAAAGGAGAGAAACATTGGTGAAGTAGCCTCCGTTTGTATTTGACTATTAGAAGTTGATGTTTTATTCAAGAGTGCGTAACATATTTAGGTGTATCATTCCAGCTGCACACAGCGTTATTAAGGACTGATAATATTTTTTGTTTTCTTTAGGCAAAGGACAGTGTTGGGATGGTGGTGTTAGAATGCCCACAATAGCATCATGGCCGGGTCACATTCCAGCTGGGATCTCAATTGATCAGCTCACCAGTTCTATGGACTTATTCCCCACAGTTGCTAAACTGACTGGTGGAGATCTTCCACAGGACAGAGTTATTGACGGAAAAGATCTCTTACCACTAATGACGAACAAGACACAGGAATCCTCTCACGAATTTGTCTTCCATTATTGTGGAAATCTAGTCCATGCCGTTCGCTATCATCCAAAGAACAGTGCCACTGTGTGGAAGGCACACTTTATGACGGCCAAATGGAGCGAGGGAACTGAAAGCTGCCGTGGAAGAGGTATCTGTTGGTGTCATGGAGATTTTGTGAAAGTCCATGATCCTCCTCTGCTTTTTGACGTAACAGATGACCCAGCGGAAAGCTCCCCCATTGCTCCCAATAGTCCAGAGTATAAAGAAGCTATGAAATACATTCCCCCTGCACTTACACAGCATAAAGACAGCATTGAGAGCGTCCCTGAGCAACTGGTGTGGTCGAAGAATCGTGTCCATCCTTCGTTGCAGATGTGCTGTAATTTTCCTTATTGTACCTGTGAAGAAACCGATAAAAAGCTTAAACATTATCCTAAGGATGTGTGAAGCAGATGAAAACACTATTTGAGTTTGATGATAAGGAAAAGAGAAGGAAAGAAAAGCTGATTTCGACTGCGGTCCAAAATGTCAAACAATGAAACGTTTGCAGGGGTGGGGCATCAGAAGCCATACCGAGCTATGTAAAATGAAATATCACTGGACAGGGATTAAATGATTTATTTGGTGGTATTATTATTCCTTGATGAGGGTCTTCCTCACTGTTTCCCGGGGTTGCACAACCTGGAACACACAGATTGGTTTTAGGACCATTTGCATCAACGAAACAAATAATTATCATTCCCTCTAGGTCCTTTCAGACATGCAATGTTTCAAAATGAAAGTGATTGTTGTTGTTGTTTTTTCGCAGAAGATCCAGGTGATTAAGCAATTCTCAATTGAATGTTGAAGGTAATTCGAGATTGCTCTGTGATTGGTCCAAAAAAAACTCGTGCCACTCTCTCAGCCAACCAGATGTTTTCCCGCGTTTATAAAGCAGTTTGCTTATTTTTACTGTGAATTCTCATAGGCTAATGACAATGTAAACCTCTGTTTTGATTGGTCGCTGGGATTATTGGGGTTTTGGTGCGGGAATCAGAGCGCCTGAAACAAACTACAAATTCTCACATCCAGGTTCCTTCCCTGGGGAGGGTGAAGAGCGGGTTCTTGGGACACGTGCTATGGCATTTCTTTGCGATTGGAAAAGCATAACAAGGGAACAAACATAAAAAAGCCGTCTTCTTCTTGATAGCAGATGATGCACTGCCATCTGCATTATAAGTCGCCGTTTCCTGTTAGCGCGAATGGTGCTTGAGAGGCATAAACGCCGAAAACACAAAATATCCTCCTTACTTTTGTCAGCCATATTGGCGGGGGACTTAGAGCGGAGTCTGGGAATGAAGTTATCACTCTCATTCGGGAATTAAATTCAGCAAAATTAAATGCGACGTTTAAATCAAATGCCGAACTTTTTTAATTCAGGTCGACTTAAATTAGTATTAGGTTCGGCGCATGTAAAATGCGACGTTTAAACCGGGCCTAACCTTTTATAAAGTGATCGCGACAAGTGCGAGTATTTTCAATGGTTTTTTCGTCCAGATCGCTCCTGAAAATACGGGCAAGCCACAGGCGTCTTTGCTCTATGCAAAGTTTGCGTGTGGCCTCTCCCTGGAATGTTTTGATGCCTGGAAATCTAAAAGATGAATACACTCCTTTGTCTCTGATACTATTGTGACCACAGTTCTTAACTGCGCAAATACAACCCATTGAAAAAGCACTTACAAGAACAAAGAATACCGGTAACCCCTCACGACGCTTTGTGTCGTCCACCAGAAGATCGTTTGTTTATCCATCAGAACTTTTGAATACCAGAGTGCGCAATTAGTGTGACGTCACGCGAGAAAGAAGAATGGATAAGCTAACTTTTGTTTACAATTTGTTCAGATCGATTAGGGTCATCGATTAGTATTGAGTTCCACTAAACATTAAAACATTAAAACATTTACAAGGGAAGAGAGTTAACTTTATCAAATGACTTCTTCAGATAGATGAAAAGTTGTAAGCTTTTTAGGGTCTAAGTAACCTGGAGATAATAACTTGTCCATAATCCCAACCTCTCTTCCCCCACTCCTTAAATTGAAATTAAAAAAAGACTGAGGAGGGCACACGTTCCTTACTAGATTTTAGGAGGGCCATATCGTATCTTGTTAATATGAAATACTTTGAAATTCAATCAACATAAAGCTGTGCTATGGGGCTCTCCAAATTTGCGTTCGCGATGAAAAGGAAAATATGTTTTTGATCATGCTCTAGCCGATCTCTGGCACATATCTCACCATTCTCGTGCCCGGAGCCACTTGGTTTTACCTACCGTTACTCAAGGAGCACGTGACCAAAAGAAGGGAATCTGGGAACGAGAATGATCTTTCGAGTACTCGCTGGGTTACTTTTAATTTAACAAAAAGTTACGACAGCCAGATTTCCAGTCTTCATTGGGTGGTCGATGACATTGAATAATTTCGCTTTTTTACAAGAAAACACATTCATTGGCTGTTTTTTTAACTTTTTGATCCTCGTTATCACTGAACCGATAAGGAAATGCTGTACTTGGGGTTAAAGGTGGGATATGCGATGCTGTACCTGAGGGCAAAGTTGGGGTATGGGATGCTGTATCTTGGGGAAAAAGTGTGATATGGGATATGGGATGCTGTACCATGGGGCAAAGGTGGGATATGGGATAAAGCTTTTAAATACTTTAATGATTCCTACTAATTAGCAGTTAATTGGCAGTCCATTTTCTACGGTCCGCCCTTTATGTTCTATTTGGTAGTGACGACTGATCCCTACTCCATCCCCCCTAAAAGGCATGTGATCGCCCAGAAATTCTCCCCCTCCCCCAGGCGATAAATGATGGCTGGTTTCTAACACTGCTCGTATTAATTACTTATTCTTTGTCAGATTGGTGACGACTTATTCCCACTCCATCCTCTCTGAAAAGTATATAGTTCTTCCCAGAAATTCTCCCTCTTCCCACAATGGGTAGTCTCTTAACACTGCTGGAATTAATTACTTATTCTTTGTCAGTTTGGTGACGACTGATCCTCACTCCATTCCCCTGGAAAGCATGTGACTTCCCAGAAATTCTTCCCCTTCCCCCAGGCGATGAGAAATGTCTGGTCTCTCAACACTGTTCACACTTTCACTTATTCTTTGACAATTCTTTTTTATCATAGGGATGATAGGGAAGTGGCATCTTGGCCTTCATTCTTCCTCCAACTCCGACTTTCATTTCTATCCTCTGAAGCAAGGTTTTCATTATTTTTATGGTCTGCCATCAAGCAACAATAACTTTTGTCTCTTCGGTGGTAAGCACCCCAAGTCGTTTTCGTATCAGGGACTCACACCAACGAAAATTGTCATACCTACTTCAGTTGTTGCAATATCACTATTCATTGGCAACTTGACTGGCTGGTTGAGCAAGAGGACCTGTGTCCTTCTGTTAACTACGATCGTGTTGCTCAGCCTTTCTATTTCAAGATATGACACGATGATAACTCGATTCAACTGTTTTGTAATGAAGAATTACAAGGTTGTGGAACAACCGGTCATTTTGGAGAACCTGACGGCACGGTTTACAGATGAAGCTGTTAACTTTATACGTGCAAACCAAGGCAGCCCCTTTCTGTTGTACATGTCGTTTGCAAAGGTACATACTCTCATGTTTAGCACACCAGCATTTGTCAATCACAGTGTTCATGGTCGCTATGGTGACAATGTAGAGGAAATGGATTGGGGCGTGGGTCAGATTATGGCCGCTGTGGAGGAACTGGGTTTGAAGGAGAATACTTTTGTGTATTTCACATCTGACAATGGACCGCACTTAGAAGAAATTAGTAACACAGGTGAATACCACGGTGGCTGGAGCAGGATTTTCCAAGGAGGTAAGACTGAAAAATAAAAAAAGATAAGGCACAAGTGCATACAAATGATAGAGAAACTCTACTTCAGCTTTTAAGGACATATTCTTTCTGTTTCTGCTCGCCCTCCTACCTCTTTTTATTTTGAACCGAGGATATAATTGAACATGCACTGTAGCTTAGGAACTCACAGAGGCGTCACCCCGTCACCAGGGTGGGGAGTTTGGGGGCGTGGGACTCCCCCTCTTCACCTTTTGTGAGATGGTCTTCAGCATAGAAAACTGAAGTAATTTGTAATAATACTTAACTTCAGCGTACTTGTGGCTTAAGATGCTCCATCAAAAATGAAAAGTCACATAGCGACCTTTTACCCTCACAAACCAGTCAATGATTCGTCGGTTTATAACCGACGAAATTGTGATCGTGACGGTGGCTTACAATATTTTGTTGTCTGTTTTCTCCTACCTCTTATTCCTGATTCCAGTTTGTAGCGGTTTCTAGCATCTGGAAACTCGTCCCAATGCTCCAATCTGCGCTTTAAGTTTCATACTTGGATATGGAACTAATCACTTTGTCCCATAGAGAGGCCTTGTTACCATAAAATGTTAAATTTTGATTTTTTGTTGTCATTGTCAGGCAAAGGACAGTGTTGGGATGGTGGTGTGCGGATGCCTACAATAGCATCATGGCCGGGTCACATTCCAGCTGGGATCTAAATCGATCAGCTCACCAGCTCTATGGACTTATTCCCCACAATTGCTAAACTGACTGGTGGAGATCATCCACAGGACAGAGTTATTGACGGGAAAGGTCTCTTTTCACTGTTGACGAACGAGACACAGGAATCTTCTCACGACTTTGGTTTTCATTACTGTGGGAATCAAGTGCATGCTGTTTGTTATCATCCAAAGGACAGTGACAATGTGTGGAAGGCACACTTTATGACGCCAAAATGGACTGAAGGAACAGAATCGTGTATTGGGAAAAGAATAGACTGTGGGTGCTTTGGGGATCATGTGAAGGTTCAAGATCCCCACTTCTTTTTGATGTAAGCAATGATCCTTCAGAGAGCTCTCCAGTTGCTTCAGATAGACCAGACCACCAATGGGTGATGAGAGAAATTGTCCCCGCGCTTCAAGCACACAAACGAAGTATTTCAGATGTTCCCAGCCAGCTTGGAGCCAAGAATTCCTTTCATCCTTCATTGCAGATGTGTTGTAACTTTCCTTTCTGTAGTTGTGAGGAAACTGGCAGAAGACTTGAACATTACTCTAAGTAGAATATTGAAGTCAAACACACAGATGTGTTATAGTAATAGTAATAGTAATAGTAATAGTAATCAAAGTTTAATGTCTTTACGTGGGGCATGGTTACCCATATTGCCCGAGCCAGAGGCTCATGTATGAAACGCAAGACAACAACCCACCCATCCCACCCCATGGGAGGACATCCATCACACAGTAATCTCGTGCGCGGGAAATTAACGTCTCCTACCCCTAACCCTGCAGGAGACGGGACCTCCATTTATTCGTCCCTATCCGAGAAGACTAGAATATCTAAACCATTTCTTGATGTTGTAGAAAGGCAGCATATTCTTCTCAATTATTTTAAGACCTTGAGTGTTGGTCCGGCCGGGGCTCGAACCCTCGACCTCCCGCACATAAGTCCAGTGCTCTATACATTGAGCTAACCTGGAGGCGGTTTGCTAAGTGGAAGATAAAACCTGAAAGATAAACTCAGTTTGCAAACTTTTTGGCGTTCACAAGATTTCTAGCATTGCTTCATGGACAGTCTTCGGGGAAGGGGGGTGTTTATGACTTTGCCTGGAGTTTCGGCACCTCGTTCTCAAATTTAGAAAATTTGGCTGACTTTTGGCATTCATTTTCATGTCAAACTTTGAAGTGAGGAAGCTAAAACCCTGAAAAACTAAAAATTTAACGATATGCAACACTTCTGGCTCCTGTGGTGTTCCTGGATCTTTTGATAGCCTAAAACTAAAGTTGTCACTGTTTTTTTTTTCATACTTTTTCAGTAAATTGTGAGTGGAGATGGCGTCCCAGGTTTAACACAATACAGTGGAATGTCGATTTAACGAACCTCTATATAACGAAGTCCTCGGTATAACGAAGTATACTTCAGTTTCAGCCCGGCCAAGGTTATAGTAAAATGTATGCTACAGAACTTCGATATGACGAACCCTCGATATAACGAACCAATTTCCCCAGTCCCTTGGCACTTTGTAAAATCGAGGTTCCACTGTATTAGACTTGTGCATTAATGAAATTTCCATAAATCCCTGGGCGTATTGATTGCTTTCATCTAATCTCAGGGGTTGCCTTGTTATAATTATCGCGCAAGTAAGTTGTGGATATAGGCCCAGCATGTCACGAAGGTCTTTCCTACAAGCAATCAAATTTTTAAATTTTAAAATAAATGTTGCCTTACGAGACACATAGAGAAAGAGAGAAACGCATCATAGGAGCTTCTGCTGAGTAAGGAGAATTGTCCGACAAATGTCTTGTGATAGCAGTGGAGGGGAGGGAACACTACCTTAATGCACAAGAATGTAGCGGATTATTGGATGATAACGACCAACATGGAATATGAATTTAAGAGAACACCTTTGTGTTTAATTGGTCAATTTTGTTCCTTGGAACTAACAGCCATCTCATGTGGAATGTTCAGGCAAAGGAGATTCCGAAAAAAAAGCAAGCTGGCGCTCGTTTTGAAGGTGTCAGACTCTATAGCGGCTGAGACTGAAGATCATGATAAAATTCAAAATTCAGTTCGATCATGTTTTGTAACCAGCTACAGGTGCATTCTCGGCGAATTTCATTTTATTTTGGGGCAGACCGCCAAAGATCTGAAAGTCTGATTGAATGTTAGATTTCCCTTTAAGAAATACAGCCCTGTTTGGTTTGGAGTGCGTAACTGGTAACCCCCGTGTTATTCGAACTTCCCTATCAGTTTCTTTTTTTTTCTGTCTGGAGAAATATTTAACCTAAATTGTTCCCAGTCCTGCGCGAATCATCAAGCAAAAACATGGCATCAACAAGAACCCTGTCTGCCTACTATTTCATATCAGCCCTCTTGTCTCATACTCATTGAAGGTTCTGTATTTGTGAGTGCACGTCTAATCTGAAACTCGTTGGGGCTATGCAACAACTTTGAGAAGCGAAAGTAAATTAAAAGAAGCAGGCTGAAAACTTTATTTGTGGTATAAGATTTATAATCCTACTGATAATAAGAATGAACACAGTCATGACCAAAGTTGTGGTCAACAGCGTGGTTAAAAACAACATAGATAAGATATTATCCTTTGCTTTACCTTATCCTTAATTTAGCTGTTTTAATAATAATAATAACAATAATAATAATATACATTTCTAAAGCTCTAAAATTATAAAAATATTCAAAGTGGTTTACAAAATGTTCTATACAAATATTAAAACGATTAAACGGTAAGAAATGAAAACATTAAAATATTAAAATTTTAAAACTTGAAAAACGTTAAAACAAATCATTAAGCCAGCTTGAACAGATGTGTCTTAAGCTTGGACTTACTTTGTATTTCTCTATGACAATTTTCAATACTGCTTTAATTCTTTTTTTTTATATACTTTTGACGGTTTTACGCCAAACCTCATTCGTTCATATCACAATCTGTTCATTTTTCTCACTAAAACTCATTAGAACATAGCTAGCAGAGTCGCGCAATCAAATTCATAATACGCAAGCGTGCTCAAAATCCCGATAGTGCACGCTGATAGCGTCAGCAAATCCGACTTCGCCAGAAATTTTTTTTTCGCGCGAGCGGCCATTGTTAGCGCGGGGAAAAATAATATATTTCGCGACAATAATGGATACAAACAGAAACTCGGCCTACTAGTCCGAAAACGAAGACAATGTTTGGACCTTTTCCCTTGGGCTAGAGTTCTTAAATGAGACCTCTTCTTCCCTGTTCAAGGCGGATTGAGAGCCACGCTCTATAATGTTTCGTCATATAATGCATTGCTAGCTTTGGACCCGACCTTATTTGAGGGGGATAGATCACTATTTGGCTACCTTCCTGGGAAAGAATACCAAATAACTAACTAGTTGAGTTGATTTTTCAAAGCCACTGTTTCCAAAATGCAAGTATTTGATGTAGGTATACCGACTCGCAGTCGAGTCTACTGTGTCAGCTGGTGCAGTGATTACTCTCGAAGCGTTTCTTGAGTTCCGAGCTACGTGGAAATGGTTTTATTTCCAGATGTGAGCTTTTTTCGGACCGCTGCCGGGAAAAGGTGCGTGCGAAAAATATGAACGTGCTCCGTGAGTCGTAGTCTTACAACCGGCACGAGTAACTTAACAAGGCACAGAAGCCTCTGGAGAAGAAGTAGTATAAATATAAAGATTTTGAACGTTGGCTTTTACAAATATTTCAGCGAAAGTTGTGGTTTTCCAGGTTTGACCCTTACCCACAGGCTGTTCA